GAATGATTACAATAATAATAATAATGGTAATGATAGTAATGGTAATCATGATAATAATGATGACAATGATGATGATAATGCTAATAATAATAATGATAATAATGATAATGATAATAATAATAATAATAATAGCAAGAATGATGATAATGATGAGAATGATAATAATGATAATAATGATAATAATACTATTAACTATGATAATAACAATTTTGATAATAATAATCATCCTCATAATAATTATAATAACAGTAATGATAATTTTGATAATAATAATAATAATGATAATAATAAAAATAACAACAATATGATAATAATGACAATATGGATAATCATGATAAAAATAATTCTCATCATTATCAATATTATTGTTTTTATCATTATCATTATTAATACTGTTGTCATTATCATTATCATCAATATTGTTATCATTATCATTATTATATTTATTATTACCATTATCATTACTATTGTTAATATTGCTGTTGTTATTATTATTATCATTACTGTTATCGTTATTGTTGTTATAACTATTATCATAATCATTATTATTTTCACTATTATTGTTCTTGTTGTTGACATTATCATCATTATTATTATCATTAATTACATAACTTATTCATCTGTTGATTGACCTTTTTAGCAATATACACTGATCTTGCTACCTAAAAATATTTTTATCTATCGACACAAAAAGTATTTCTTAATGTTGTTTAAGAGAATATTGATGAATTTCAAGTTCTGTATCTAATAAATGTATTGCTCATATCCATGGGTGGATGAAGCCCTACTGCTTCTCCCTCTCTCTCTTTCTCTATCTATCTATCTATCGATCTATCTATCTCTCACTCCCACCCCTCTCTCAATCTCCGTCTCTTCCACTCTCTCTCTCTCTCTCTCTCTCTCTCTCTCTCTCTCTCTCTCTCTCTCTCTCTCTCTCTCTCTCTCTCTCTCTCTCTCTCTCTCTCTCTCTCTCTCTCACTCACACACACACACACACACACACACACACACACAATTTCATCCCGTCTCTCTCTTTCCTTATCGTCTCTCTTTCACGCACGCACACACACACACACACACACACACACACACACAGATGCATATGCGTGTCTCTATCTCTGTGCCTGAATTCATACACATATATAATGCTTTGTTCATTCCAAAAAGAAATGAAATTGAAAAATACAGATAGTTCAGGAGATAAAATTCAATGATCATATTAATTATAGGTATTATGACTCCTACGTAGTACTGAGAACACATTTGTTTCTGGAAATAATTCATAAATTGTTCTGATATTGACTGGTAAGAAAAATACTATGCCGTGTAGAATCTATTATATGAAGAAGATTGTATGTGCTGCAATTGTATATCTTTATTCTGATAAATTCAGACACAAGAAACTAAAAGAGCTAGTGAGTGAAAAGGGAAAGAAAAATAGATAGATAGATAGATAGTAGGAGAAAGAGAAGGGGGGTGAGAGAAAAGGAGAGGGGGGGAGAGATAAAAAAAGAGAAAAAAATTTAAGTGAAATAGAGAGAGA